CAGTTTAAATATCCTATTAACGCTGTACGTAATCTAGTCTACCTTAATCAGTTTAAATATTGTATTAATGCTGTACATAATCTAGTCTACCTTAATCAGTTTAAATATTGTATTAATGCTGTTCATAATCTAGTCTACCTAAATCAGTTTAAATATCCTATTAATGCTGTACATAATCTAGTCTACCTAAATCAGTTTAGATATCCTATTAATGCTGTACGTAATCTAGTCTACCTAAATCAGTTTAAATATCCTATTAATGCTGTACGTAATCTAGTCTACCTAAATCAGTTTAAATATCTTGTTGATGTTGTATTCATGATGTTAGAAAAACACATAGGTTCAAGAAATTAATTTAACACAGAGATAAAATATCCTATAACCTGAGCATTTTAAAAAGATGGACCTTTCTTCTTCAGGGGCTGTTAATGCTGTGCATAGTTTCGTCTTTTTAAGTTAATTTAAATATCTGTACATAGTCTTGTCTAGTAGTTCCTAACTTTTTTTCATCTGGGGACCAACTAGTTCTGATTCCATAATTTCACAGATCACTTTGTACGATATTAACTTTGTAAATTACATTGTAAAACAATATACTTCAATAGTTATGTTTTAAAACACACATTTGTTTTCAACCTTTTTTTTAGACTGGAATCTTTGAAGGTGTTTATTGCTTTGTTATGATACTATTGATGCAAGCAGTAAAAGCTCACAACTTGGTTCAGGCTCTTCAGCCTTTGCATAAAGAGAAACTGATCTATGAAGAGGCACTTTAATGAAGAAAAATGAAGTGTTTAAGATAATGAACAAGTTGCACTTTCTTTCAAGTACTAATCATTTATTAATTTAAATTAAATTTACATAAAGTATTAGGTATACATATTTTTATGGTTTTGAGTTAGAATATTCGTTTTACCTGTTATTACATGTATTGCTGTATAATTTTGTATACATGACAATGGTATATTTGCTGTTTTCCTGCTAAATTTATCCCTGTAAATTTAATACGTATTTTGTTTTTAATTAAAATTATACTAAGTTATGATTTAGTCTGTATTATTTGTAACAGGTATTTTATAAACATTAACCTTAGATTAATAAAAGTTTCTGATACCCCATTTTCTTGGTTTATAGTTATGCAAAAAATGAAGCTTTAAAAATTTTTTTGCTATCTATATATATATTTAATATGCTGTTCAAATCTTTACATGGAGTGATAAACAATTAAAAACATAAATCACTATGGTTGTGAAAATTTTGTTTAGAAAATAACTTATTTTTTTTAGTTTAAAATAATAATACACAACTATTTTGCTTATGCTTAGTTTAAGAAAGTATTTTCAATTGTTAATAACTGTGACTGTTAAAAAGCAAAGTTGTGTGAATTTATTTTAAGGTAACCAAACATGTTTCATAGAGCAATAATATTATGTTGGTTGTCATCTTCATAAGCCAAGGGGAACATGTAAATGCTTTGAATCAAAACTTTGAGTTCATGTTTTTCTGTATAATGAAACAAAGTATATTTTTATTTGCCATTGAAAGCTTTGTTTGTATCTTGCAGGAATTGAACAACTTCAAGTTACCTCGTTTATTGCAAAAGTGAAAATGAAAAATCTAGCTAGCAAGAATATGTTTGAAAGGATTGGTTTTAAAGAGGTACGTTAAGTAATTATCCCTGCTGTGATAATCGCAGTAAAGCAATAAATCTAAATTACCAATAGATTTATATTGTATTAGCTTTGACTGTAACAATAAGTAGTGTCTAATTATCATTAACAATATGCAGTCATTCTAGAAAGAAAAAAGGTAATTTAGATTTATTTCAGATTTGTTTGTGGTTGTTGCAAGATCAGTCAAATGGACCAAGCCTGTATACAGTGTTACAGTAAAGAAAATAACAGATAAAATATAAAGTTTTACCAAAAAGAAACTTTTGATATTCATTTAGGAGGTTCTGAAGGTTTTGAAATATGAAAACTGTGAAACATAAAAAGTATTTTCAATCATAAAATCACCTTGCACTCAGATTTCATAAGTTCACTAACAAAGTATTAGTAAAAAATCTGATTTTTTGTGTATAAAAGCCTTGTAATATTTTATAAAATCTTGTCGGATTCTGTGAAAAAACACTACATTAAAAGTCACACAGTATGTATAGTTACATGCATGGTGGTTACAAAGTTGGTCAAAATGACTAAGCTCGTATAGAGAGGGTTAAACATAAAAGTATGTGATGAAGCTCATGATTATTTTAAAAACTTTGCATGAACTTAATTTTTTTTATTTTGTGTCATCATTTACTGATATTGTTTTTTTTTCTCTCTTCCCTTCTCTGGCAGTACACATTTATTTTACAACCAACACTATATCTGGGTAATAAAATAAATTAATCAGTTATGTATGAGCTTTGATTACATTGATTAGTATCATGTAAATTAGCCAATCAAAATTATGATTAAACTGACTACTTTCATGAAACTAATCATTTGATGTTTCCAATTATTACTGCTAATTAGTTCAACTATCCAGTGATCAAAATTAGTACTAGATAAATTAATGTAATGAAAATAATAACTAATCAAAATTAGTGTTAACATTTATTTCAACTAGCTAGTATTGGCATTATGAGTTTTCATTATTATTTTCAATCAATTAAAATATGTTCAGCTTATAAAGTTTGAAGACAGCTTAAATGAGTAATGAAGAAAATTTTATTACATGTGTAACATAATAAATAATGTACAAAGTTTTGTCACCATTAGGTAAAAACTATATAGTGCTCTGCCTACCACGGGTATTGAAACCTGATTTTTAGCATTTTAAGATTGTTTTCTAGCCACCCCATGAAAATAGTCAATTAGTTGACTGTAATCAATAAATGAGACTGACAATTAATCAACTAGCAAGTTCAACTAATTGCCCAGCTCTAGGCAACACCCTGTATTAAACTTGCACACAAGCATTTGGTGTTGAATTATTAGTTTAACACTATTTCTAGTGTAGCTACACAGTACAGGTGAACCATACAGTTTAAATTCTATCATCTGCTGTCAGCATCAAAATATAAAACTTAAAGTAGTGTTATAAAGTTTTACAGTAAGAAATTTTGGTGAAACATTGTTTCTAAACATTATTAGAACCTTTTTGTATAGTGACACATATGATTAATATTATTATTTTAGTAAAAAGTTGTCAGAAACAACCCAAATTAGATATTGATACTTGTCTGTACCTTAAGGGATGTCTCTGACACATTTGAGAGAGAACTAAAACTTTAAAGTTACTCAAAGCTAACAAAAATTATGCTTTTTTTAAATATAGAAAGAATTCAGAAATTAACAGCTATTGAGTAAATAGATGAGACAACCAGTTGAGATTCAGTGAAAAACAAGCATGTATGTAATTACAGTACTGTCTGGGATTGCATTTGTATTACATCTTAGGTTTTAAACACTTATCACATTTTCTTTCCTTTTGTATAGATTTCTCAAAGTGATATTTTTGAAGAACTCACTTTACAACTGGTTGTAACAGAAGAATGGTTGTCCTGGTTGTTATCTCAAACGAAGTGTTACCACATTCATGTATATTAACTGCTATCTGAATAATAAAATTATTTCTTTGAACATGTGAGGTTTATTGTGCCTAAAGTATGTTTGGTTTTCTGACTGAAAACTTTTTTAGAAATTAATTCATACAAGAAAGAGAAAACTCATGGTTAAATGCAACAACCATGCAACGTTGAGTTTGACAGATTTACATTACAATACTCAAAGTTTAAAGCTTTTGAGTAACAAAGTAATGTAATAGGCCATAAAATGTTAAGATGATCTGATTCTATTTAGCCCACGTTTTATTAGTTTTTAACTTATGTAAAACTACAGTCAATTTAAATATTAGTACATCTTGTGTTATATAAGTTTTATTTTTTTTTATTGATATTAGAATGATGAAACATTAGAAATCAATAAAACACTACCACCTTTCGACAAAAATTATTTGTAATTTAATAGAAAATATTCCCTCCTTTCTGGATAGAGAGAGAGTAAGTGAATGCTCTGGTTCTATTATAAACATTTTGAATTGCTAAAAAAATATTTTTTTACATAAATTTTTAAGATGTATTTTTTCTTGGATGTTGGTTTTCATTTTTGTCTTTATAAACTGTAGCTTTGAAACAATTTTGTTACAAGCCTTACAGATACAAATAATGTTTTTTTTTTCTTTTTCCAAACCAGAACCTCATGGTGGCTGAGTACTTATAATATTAAAAAATTGGGTTTTGATACCCACATTGTAGATTTGTGCGTAATGATAAACAAAAAACTCGGCAGATGGCCTGCCTAGCTTTATATATTGGCAGTAGCAGTTAAAGTTTATGCAAAAAGACGTATCTTACAAAATAGGAAAAAAAACGCAAAAGATTTTACCCAATCTTAATTATAATATATATTTTCAGAAAAATTTCATACTCGTGAATTGTTCAAAAACCCCTCAGTCTTGCAAACACTACAATTCTATGGAGTAAACTGATATTTTCTCAACTCACAAATTTAATACACCTCAAAATTCATGTGAAAAAAATACGATAATGCCCCTGCAGTTGCTTTTAACAAGTGCATTGATGTTTCTTTAAAAGCAATATTTTACTGTTTCACACATTATTTGTTACAGGTATTAGGTCGTCAAGAAATTGATGTCGCGTTTTGGAACACTTTCATTAACCACCACCCCAAACAAAAAACGTACATCACGTATAATAGTTAAACGAACCACCTAAACGTTACGTTAGTGTAGCCTATATAATGTGTAAAGTTTAGTATACTCTAATCCCTTATAGTGATGGCACATGTAATGCTGTTTGAATACAAGAAGGGGAACGAAGCCTCTGTAGTCACAAAGAATATCAAAGAAGTTTATGGAAATGTTTTG